GCGGCTCCGACAAACAAACGATGCCAGTGACAAAAGAAGATTAAGACTGTGGGTTTTTTTTTTTTTTTTCCATTAGAAGCTGAAGTTTTATTACAGGATAACAGTACATAAAGCACATCTAAAATCGATGTGTTCAATGCACTTAAAAGGTAATGTAATATTAAAGGTACAGTTTCTAAGTACAATATAACAACATTCATATTAGAATGAAAATTGGAGTATTTAAAAGACAACATTAAATCTCTTATTTTTACAGTTGTATTTACAAAATGGATCAAAATACTTTTTTCGGGACTGAGTAAAATAACAAACTTGAATATAAGCAGGCTATTGCAAGAGTGAGTTGGAAAGAAGATCCGTGAAAGTGAAAGGTTAAGTGAGTGGGTAAAGATCATTAGCAAAGGTTTAGTACAATACCACTTTAGTATTCCTCTTGATGGCTTACGTTTTATTGTGGCTAGAAAAGGAATTTATACATACTGTACACATAACAGACAGCATATATTTACATGTACAGTATAATTTCATTTAAAGTTGCGCATATTTACAGAAATCTGAGTATATCACTCAACGAGGTTTTTGAAGTTTATGTGCTTAATCCTCAAACCAACATATATTTGTAATCGTTTATTCTGGTCTCTTTACGTTGAACATTAAGTCAACAGGGAGAATACGTTAACTAAATAGTTTTGCATAAATAGATCAAACTATTAAAACAAGAGGGAGAACGTGTTCCTAGCATCATGTATAAGTTAATACATACAAATTCAATAGTGACTCCTCTTTTTTTTTTTTTCTGGAGAGTATCAAAAAGTGACTTAAATCAAAAGGGGAAAATTAAATTGTCATGGCTTATATTTAAATAAGATTGTAGCTTCAAGAGGTTTTTTTTTTTTTTTAACTATCCTGATAGTGTTTGCAATTAAACATTCTACTTATGAAAATATACCCATGGTGCAGTAACGTTTGTATTTGTTTTTAGGACAACGGTATGTTTGCTGCTTTAAAAAAATTATTTATATATATATATTCCTTTGATTGAGGGTATAAAAGCAGTGCATGGAAGCCAAGAACCATGGCTTTAAAATTCACTACCTTCTATTATCAAAAAGTGCAGTAAACAGAAACATTGTATTTAATAAATTGCTCAAAAATCTTTGCTAAAGATCTTATAAATTCAGTAATATTACAGAAAAATTCTAATAAATATTTAAAAGGTTAATTACCTCCTTAGTTAGATATTTGATATCCATCAGTTTTTAAGAAGTAAAAGGAAAACAATATCTAGAACGAAAGGAAGAGGGGATAGGAATACTTTTAAGGGTACATGACTACGTAAATTAAGGTATACATGAAAAATAAAAACAAAACCCCCAGACCTGACAAAATGTTGCAAATTCCACTTCTTAATTAGCTTTAGTTGCTAATGGCTGTCCTTAGATATGTATGCATGGTTTATAAAGCATGTCCAAGGACTGAATTTAGCCATCGATTTAGCATGGAAGATTTACAGAAAATTCCTATTTACAGTAACTGAAGTGTGTAGGCATGGCCTAGTAACATCCGCAGTTCGCGTGTGTACACATCCTATTTAAAGTGAAGAGGGAGGAAGGCACCCAGCAGAATGACAGCTATAAATATCAGATGCAACGACAGGATAGAGCTCTCCCTACCAGCCAGATAACGACCTCCCTTTCAGATAGACAGCATATTGTAAATACTTTGTACCGGTAGATTAGACACTTTTCTTTTTTTTCTGACACAATACAGACTGATAGTTTTAGTAACCCAAAGGATAACAATCTGGACAGAACATTTTTTAATAATGTTAATAATTAATAAATTCAATAATGTAGAAAAAAAATTCTACATTTGATATCAAGTATCTGTACTGGTGAAGTAATTTGCTCCTTATTAAATATACTATAGAATAATTTATATAATGACACTATGCATTTAAAGAGAAAACCATGTCCCAAATCTTGTACTCTGATACAGGTACTTGTTGGGCATATGTAGGTGTATATATATATATATACACACAAATATATATATATTTATATATAGTTGTACTCAGTGAAATTAACAAGACCCAAAGGTGGTATTGTCTAGGAATAAAAGGGGTTTGTTTGCTTTTGTTCACAAAAGTAACTTACCTAGCACCACACATCAGAAAAACACAAAAATAGCACACTCTAGTTCTAAACAGCTATGTCTAAAATAGATTATATAGTAAAACAGATATTATACAGCATAATGTGGTATTTGATAAACAGATAAATATTTGCACTGTGTAGGCTGTTTATAGTATAACTTTTATCTATACAGAATGAAAGCAAAAAGCTAACTGTATAGAGGTGAGCAGAACAACATTAAATATTATGACTCCAAAGCCGAGACGAAGTTAGAGTTGAAAGAATAGAGCAAGATAAAATGTTTACAGGCCATTACAAGTCCTTAAATTAGTAGTAAAATAAGGAATCAGTTGCTCAAGTTTAAGAAAGCAGTAAACAAGAGATTGCATTTACATGCAGATGTCTAAAACTTGTATTTCTTTTAAATCTATGCACAAAAAGTCATTTGTTTTTATTGCTTGACATTCAGTTATGGCTAGAGTATTTTTAACCTTTTTTGTACTTTGGAAACAAGAATATTGTTAAAGGTGCCATAAAAATGGACAACATTGAAAACAGTTTGCAAATAAACCACCTAACACTGCAGTTCTTTATACATTTTAAAAAGCCTTGTCTGGGGTTTGTCATGTGTTAAATATATTTAAACTGGGAAAATACATTGTAGCTTGAAGCCTCCCATTGGCCCAAACATCCAATACAAAAACACATCTCCAGAAAAGGAGCAGGCAGACAATACAGTTACATATAAAGAAGCAGCCAGTTAATGTCCTAATATTTCAAATATTCACCACTGTTCCGTAACTTGCTTCTAAATCAATGTAGAAATGAGGAACGTTTTGGGTCTAGAAAGGTGTACAGTACGTATGCCTTTTTGTGAAATAAAATTCACTGTATTGCTTATGAATTCTCTGCATTAGATACGATAGCATTACAGATTGCAAGTTCCTGTAAAGTTTATGCATCTACACTAAGACTTTATGGGGGCAACGTGGGGTAGCGTGTCTCAAACTGAAAGTCACAACCCTTCCGAGAGTTACGGAAGCGTTTGGCTAGGATGACTATCAAAGCCCTGCGTCAGGCAAGCGGAGCTTGGCTCTCCGGGAGCCG